CCCATCGCTAATCATGGCATCAATTTGTGCACTTTTGTATGCCTATACTTTACCCAACCTAAAGTAAGTCTCCCTAACAATACTTGCTATCTGAAGATGTCGAGTCTCTTTCAACACTGAGTTGATACATTCAGCAAGGTTGGTATTCATATGGTCGTAACGTTGACCCTCAACATCATATGTCTGTGACCATATCTCCCTTGGTATTTCAGCTACGAACTCATACACATCATCTCCGTATCTTCTCAAATTTTCAAGCCGTGCACAGAAGTTTTGTTGGAGTAAAGCATACCCTAAAAAGAAGTAACTTAAATGTTATTAAAAAAACATTAATGAAGTATAAATAATTAATGACAAATGCTAAGGTACTTACCCATGTTGATAATATCATTTTTATCTTTTTCTTCTTAAACCTCTTCATTGCATTCGACGAGATATGATGTATACAATATGCAAGATATGCGTGCGGTGGTGTCCATCTATTTTTGGGTCTACCAATTATGCTTAACAACCCAGGCGAACGATCTGAGATCATGCAAACCCCTTCTTGAGTGACAACATGGGAACGCAAGTTGGAGAGAAAGAAATTCCAAGTTTCCTCTGATTCATTTTTAACAATGGCAAAGACAATGGGGAAATTATTTTTGTCTTCATCTTGTTCAACGACAATCATCAAGACGTGTTTGTAGAGCCATACAGAAAAGTGCCATCGACTTGAATAATTTGTTTGCAAAATCTAAACCATTCGATAGCTGGCTTAAACGCCCAGAACAAGCCACCAAATATTCTCTTCCTGGGGATAACGTCTCCCTCAAGCGTGACTATAGGATGAGTATAGTACCTAACAATGGTTCCAGGGATGAAAAATTGCATTGCTTGCAGCAGACGTGGTAGCTCATTATATGATTGATCCCAATCACCATACAACAAGGTCATTGCTTTCCGTTTAACCATCCATGCCTTGTAATAAGTCAGAATATAACCAAATGTATTTTGAATGGATGCCACTAACACAGAAACGAAAAGTGTTGGATTTTTTCCACCAACAGCTTCACATAAGAGCATATGACATCCGAATCTAAATGTATATGGTCTTGTGTCAAGGAGGTCATTGTACATGCATGCTCTGCATTGAACCTTATGACTTTCCACAACATTTTCCGTTGTATGTATGATACTCGTATCCTCTATTTACAGACAACATCATGGTGTATACACCTTACGAAATAAGTTTTTTTGATCTGACTCCGCGACATAGAATTAAAGATGAGCTTTGATACTATACTCTTTGATTGCTAGTTGTGCCTCTTTTTTTGTTTCAAACTGAGACCTAAATAGGCAACTCAGATGATCGCTCGTTTGAAGAACCCCAGTGGATAGCACATAACTCTGGCATATCAAATATTTCAGGATTCTGCATAACATCATATTTAATGTCATGCATAGCAACTGCATGATGATACCAAGGCAAATCATGATAATTGAATTCAGGTTGAGGGTTTGTCCTTGCCCAAACATTTGGAGCATTCTACAATCCTTGATATCGTGAAACAACTGCCTCCTATACATCCGCCTCGATATTCAAACCTTGTCCCTCTGAAGCAGCCTAAAAAATATCGGACTCATCAACTAATGATGTGTCATCATCGTCTACCAACGGAATAATATCTTCATCATCCTCGCTAAATTCAGCAAGGCTTTCACCGAACTGTCCAACAAGGTTTTCATCACCATAACTTGCATGTGGTTGAGAGGGTCCTGCTTCTTCTGTTCTTCGAGCTGGTACTGATGACGTCAGAATATCAGTTGCATTCGTTGTTTCAACGTACATCTCCACCATATTATTATTTGATAATTGATGAAGTTCAACCATAACAACAACATCGTCGTCATCATCAAGCTAAACTTTTCCATATGTCATTGGATTTGAGGAGATCAGGTGTCGATAACTTAAACATGAAACAGAAGCTCCAAGTTTTCTCTCAATTTTTTGCTTTATTTGGTGATGAGATACATCTACAAGGAACATCATATTGATCAGCCTGTTTGACTTAAACACAACACCATTATCAGTTTGTAGAATTTCGCCATTATAATGGACAACTGTGAAGAATTTGTTGCTCATTGTTTGAAATGCTTTTGGTTAGATGAAAGGAGTTTTTGTGTGTAGGAGATTGAAGATGAAAAGAGTGTGTTATATAAGAGATTGAAGAGGATGTGCACAACTTAAAGGGAAGACATATTTTTTCCTGTTGGAGCTCATCACACCAGAGTGACGAGTCCAACAAGAAAAAAAATTATTCCTTTTATGAGGCCCATCTGACACGGCCCATTAAAAAATTATATCTCATGGAACTCGTCACGTTGTTCAATTTGTCGTAGATCCCAAATTAAATGTTTGGGTGCCCTATTGGGCCAAATAATTCACCGGTTCCCTATTTGCCTAATTTGGCCATGTTAGGATGGCTTGAAAATTACTCAAGGATTTGAGTGGGGAAGTCAGCATAGAAAGGAGGGGACTCATTATTGGAATGCTCGCCCGTTCGCACGACGATGGTAAAAATAAAATGGACCCCAAAACTAAAACCCATCCATAAATATTGTATGGTCTATGATATAAAGATATATTCTTTTAGAGAATTCACGTTCAAATAGTTGTATTTGTAAAGAATATGTATATTGTTAATAGAATAAAAAATTTAAATAAATATTACTCATGAAATCACTCTATACTATTAAATATATAATATAAAAAATGTTTAAAAAATGATTAAGGTTCAAATCAGAAAAAAATGAGTCAAACTCAAGGATTAAATATTGTTATCCTATGTAAATACATAATATAACAAATGGCGAATGCGCTAAGCTGCAACATCCTTAGTTCCCTCTCCCCAATCCCATTTATGGTTCGTTACGCTAAATTCTCACAAATCCCTATTTAAATTAATTATTATTCCTTTTTAGGTAAGTATAATTAGTTCCAAGAATAATAAGAATCCGAATTTGATCCGACACAATAGAGGAGGTTGTGAGAGCAGAGATACGATGAGTTGCCATCAAACAGCTAATGAAAACGTGGAAAATGAGAATGAGACGGCAGTTGTTGATGGACGGCGACATGTTTGCATCGACAACTAGTAAACATTGTAACTAATTTTGTGAATAAAAGTAATTAATGACCACATAATCCTTGATCTTAGTCAAAGTTAGTCACCGGCCACCATCAGCGTTGCTTTTCAGTACATTTACTCTTCACTTGCTCTTCACACAGCTTTTTTTATTATTATTATTAACTATCTTCGCAATATTTTGAATTGATGTATTAAAAGGTGTTAAAAATAGATAATTTCTCATTTTTTTTATCATACTTTATTTTTATTGATATTGAATGTTGTATTCAAATTTATTGGAAATTTATCCATTTATTTTCACCTGAATAAATTTTGCAATATTTTTTAATTAAAATTCTCTATCTGTAAATCTCTTTTTATTTTACAATTTTGATTTAATTGATATTACTGGTTAATGGGACATTGGCTTATTAGAAAAAGGATAAAAAAATATGATAACAAACTTCTCACCATAATATATACAATATTGAACTTTTATTAATAATTTCAATTGATTTTTTTTAACTAGTGATCACTTCTATGGCCTATTGTGACACACTATACTATCTCATACTGAATCGATTTTAGGGTGTTAAATTTAGTGGTATCATAACTTAGATTGAATTTGTCATAAGACCAGCGGTTGGTCATAGTAAGGTGTTTATGGATATATGCTCATAGGTTTAAAAATGTACTCTTACAAGACTGAAAATCTAATGGTGCTTCCTTTTTTTTCCTTCTTTTGATTACAAATTTGATATGGATGACAACTCAGGGAGTAGCCATGAGGGTTGAGTGGAGAACTTTGTCTCTCACATCGACGATATTAATGATGAACTTGTTTATGATATCGAGGATCTTGGGATCCTATAATATATATAGGTCGAGGAAGTGACATTTTCTAAGATCTAACTTTCACCCTTAAAGATATCGTGAATGTTATATTGTAAACTTAAATTATTCTTAAATTATTCCACAAGTCACCAATGCTACAACCATTCTACACGAGTCTCCAATTGAAAGGTCTGGGAGGTATAAGATTGTTGATTTTTATGGTTCAAGTGATGACAAGTTGATATATGTTTATTAGTGGCTGAGAGAGACGTTGAGGATTGTAGGACAACTTTATCTTGCCTCGAAAGGCAATCTTGAGTGAGCAACCACTCTGACGTTATTGATTAGTCCATTGAAGCAAGTTGGGTATTTTTGGGATGATTTTAGCTCATTTAGACCTAGAAAATAGGGAATTTCTAAGGACAAATATTGTGGAATGATCAATTAGGTAAGTAACTCATTATGAAAAATCAAAATGATTTTTCCTTGATTTGACGAGAAAGTTTTTAAGTATAGTTAGGAAAGGATGAAGACCCTTCTCACCCATTGTCACACCTCAATATGGGGTTAGATTTCTTTTAATTTAAAATATGTAAAATGATATAAAGTTTGATTGGCAAATAATTGATTTATCTTACTATTATTTTAGTAAACAAATTGAGGGCCATTCAATAAGAGATATACTTTTTTAAGTAAGGATAAGATAGCCATGGTTGGAATACATTGCTTTCAGCTCCCACTTTCGGCCAGCTTTTGTATCCATCAAAGCCTTGGTATTATTTTCAACTCATGCCAACTGGAAAAAAAGAAAAAAATCATACGAAATGGCACGCAAGAAGATCAGAGAGTTTGATTCCAAGAGATTGTTGAAAGAGCATTTTAAGAGACTTTCAAGAAAAGATTTGCCAATCAAACTTGCACAAATTACAGAATCAACCGATTTCAATCAGCTAGTGGAGAATGAGCCATGGCTATCGTCACAGAAACTGGTTGTTAAACCTGATATGTTGTTTGGAAAGCGTGGGAAGGTTTGTTTGGTTGGCTTAAATCTGGATTTTACTCAAAGAGGTGGAAATGAGTGGATGAAAGGGACCTGTTACAACATTCATTGTTGAACCTTTCATCCCTCATAATGAAGAGTTCCACCTTAACATAGTCTCTGAGCGACTTGGTTGCAGCATTAGCTTTTCAGAGAGTGGAGGGATTGAAATCGAAGAGAACTGGGATAAGCTTTATTGGGCAATCTAGGTGATTCTCAAGCTAGGGCCTCTCCTGACAACACTTCTGCACATGGTTCTGAAACGACTTAGGGACAAGCTTCCCCAAACACATCCTCTTCCTAACCCTTGGGGCAACACTCTTGGTGGTGGTAAGTTTTAGCCTTCTGTTCCCCATTAAAGCATATTTTCCTTCTAGCCATACCCGGTGGTTCAATGTTCATATTTTTTTTTATTATATGCACATGGAAATCCTGTTGTAGAGAACAAGGAAAGTAGAATCCAAAATGCTACTGGTTGTCAATAAATAAATAAATCAAAGAAGTACGATCCTTAAAGCCGATGGTCTAAGTAACTGTGGTTATGTGGATTTGATCAATGTTTGAAATGAAACATCATATCCAATTTATTCAAAAGTGGGGTAAATGATTTGTTTGAGACTCATCTAATCATAGCTTATTGTCCACCTTTGCATGATTCTAAATTACTTTTGAAAATCACGTGGGTTTTGGGGGTTTGTTATTAAAGTGAGAAGGGGAAATTACAAGGTAAGCCATCCAAGTTGTTAAAAGCTCAACCTTGTCTCTTAGCTTTCATATTATTATGATTATGGCATAATGGTTTTATTAAGATCGATTTAGTCCCTAATTTTAGTAATTAAAAATTATTTTAACTCCTAAAGTTTTTAGTTTTAATAATTGGGTCCTCAAAATATTAGTCAGATTCTAATAAGTTATTTTTATGACTAGAAAAATTATTTGAAGTCGTATTTGTACGATAGATCGTCCGTGTTCGTTAGAAAAAGATCGGAAGCTATAAATCAAGTTGGTGAGCTGGAATTCAAGAGTAAAATTTTGGGTTTTTTTGACATCCTGAGTCCGATTCCGAAGTCTGTTTAGCCAAATTCGAACCCGATAAACTGTTTTTCATTGATTAATCACCCGATTCGATCTGTTTTTCAGAATTAAGCTCCGTTTTTTATTAAATTTATATTGTTATGTATTTGAGGAATTATTAGAATATGATTTCAAGATCAAGGGCGTTTGAATAGAAATTAAATGGTCGATCAGGATGGCACGGAAATTGAGGTAATATATTACTACCTCTTTATGCTTTATGGAACACGTTGATAATGGATAAATGCATGGACATATATATATATGATTGGTCTATTATGTATGTCTGATTATGGATGGATTCGAACCGAATATAATTTAAGTAATAAATTAGTTAAGACTCTATTGAATTACAAGTTCTGTGATTGAGTGATAAAGGAATCAGTCCTGAATATGTGAATTATAATTTAACTTATTAAAGGTACTTGGATGATAAACTATATGAATACTTCGATTAGATAAAATTATGAAAATACCCTTATGTTGTAAAAAGACAATAATTGACCCTGAAAGTTGGATAAGAAGTTATAAATACATATTGATCTGATGAAACTACTGATGTGTATGCAAAATACTAGTTTTTCTTAGGAAATCTGGATAATCGATTTCTAAACTCAATATGGCTTGTACAAGATACTAGAAATTTGACAATGAATATTTTAAAGTTTAAAGATTATTCGGAAAAAAGATAAACCTTAGAATCTCTGAATTATAATTATCTTTGTTAAGAATTTTAATACCGAAATTATATGGTTAAGAAATTACGAAATTACCCTTGAGAGGTAAAATAGTCCAAGTTGACCCTGAATGAGAAAATACTTTGAGGATTCGTACTTAACTCGATTAAGGACGGATTTGATTATTAAGATCCTGACTTAGTGCATGAAAATTCCTGATATTCCGTTTGTAAAATCTGAGAAGGGACTTGACCCGGAAATATCCGAGTTATGAGTAAATATCTGAAGAATAATTTGTCAGGGGTGTTCTGTTGTCAGAATTGTTCGAAAGGACTGAAATAAATGATAAGATTGAATTTAATAGTAAGATCAGACGGAAGGAAATGATTGAAATACACTGAATCTGTAAAATGACCAAAATACCCCTATCATGGAAATGACCCAAGAATATCACCAAGCTCAGGAATGATTGGATATCCTTGAGCTCTGAAATGAATGGAATAAAACTAAACACTAAAATTACCAAAATAACCTTATTGCCTAAATTAAGTAAATGTCTTGGATTAATTAAGGAATCCAAATAAGCATAGGTATTGGACTACCTTTAAAAGTAATGGAACGTAATTTAAGTGAGTAGATCAACCCTAAAGCTATATCAATACCTAAATGGCATAGATATTACTGGAATGCATGTTCGCCTTCTCAAGTTTGGCTTGATGATAAATTTTGGAAGTATTCAGCTCAGCTCAACTCTAGATCACATTTAGTACTAAGAATTGGACGTTTGTTCGACAAATCAACCACGAAGACCAAATTGAATGGAACGAAAGTACAACATGTATCTTAAATTCAGTATCGTTTGAATTACTCTGGAAAATCCCGAAGTAACTGGAATAAACTTGAATGCTAAATGAACTAAGTAACCTCAAGGACTAAGGATTAAGTAAGTGATTTGGATGAGTCTGGAAACGTTAATGAACATACATGATGTAATGTTCTTATGGATCTTGAACTACAAATCAAGCACGTCAACATTTCATGATATAGTGGAAGCGTGAACATGAAATAAAGACACTAGAAGATTTATTCAACGATGATTCTGAAGATTATATATGGACTAGAATTTGTGGTATTAAAGTGTAAATACCCTGTAAGGACAATGAATTGACCAGTCGATGAGCATTAATTTTGGGAGATATTCATCTGAAGTTGTTTGATAATGAAATCAATCGACATAGACTGTAAATGTCCTGAATCTTCATTTCTTCCTTATCAGCTCAAGTCATATTCTGAATAACTGATGATTTCGTTAGTTATTAAACTATTCCTATAGTGATTCTAATTTTCGATATCCTATCGGTATACTGAAGATTCATGTTTCTCTACCTGCTAAGATTATCCAGTACCTCTGAATAATTTCTGTAAACTCTGGTGTGTTCCCTAATCACCTGGATATTTTACCTGATTTCCGATTTGATTTCTATTATAATACCTGACCTGGATTCTGATCGGATACTTGACCTGGATTCTGATCGAATACTTGACCTGGATTTTGATCTGATACTTGACTTGGATTATATTTTGATTTTTGATATATCCGTTTACGGACGGAACATGTTTTATTTGGGGGGGTAATGTTGGAGGAAGTATACCCGGAGGCTCCTCGGCTGTGTGCTCAGGGCCTTACTTATTGGCTCCTCGGTTGTGTGCTCAAGGCCTTTCTGGACTTGGCGGTGGGTGTATAGTTCTGGGGAACCTACACATTTTGGACTTGACGGATAGGGGTATATATATATATATATATATGTTTTAAAAAGATATGAAAAGTTACATGATTTTTGGGAACACACTAGAAAACCTATTCTGATCTCATGAACCTAAACATCCCAAATATTTTTGCATCAGAACTGAATATTATCTGTTAATACCTGAAATATCAATGGGAGCTCAGCTCAGCCAAAGAAATCTGTAGATATCTGAACCAATAAGGAAATATATGTTTATCTGTATCTGCATGTTCTTCAGCAACATTCTGTATTACTGAGCTTTTCGAAGCTCACTCTATTACTCACCACTTCAGGTTAAAAGATTGTACCAGTACAGCTATCAAAATCAGTAAGGGAGTTCTTCCGGCGTTGCTTGCAGAGTATGGTACATGTGATTAGGGGGACATGTAATTGTATTTTGTTTTATATACGAGTCTGAAATTCTGTTTCATTTCTTAATAATGATAAATGATTTTATGAGTTTACATGTTTTGATAAAAATTTTTAAATTTTCCTCTATTTTTATAGTGGGTTGCTCCGGTGGCCCAAATGTGACACCCTAGATCGGATCTGGTTACCCTCATCGGTCTAAGGGGGTTACACCCTTCTTATTTGCCTTTTTTTTTACCCTTAAGCCAAAGCTTCAATCTTGACCTTTATTAGTGGAAATTTCAATTCAAGTAAGGTAAGAAACATCTTCAATAAATCATGGGCTTCAAGATGAGATGAATGTCATATATTTTTGCAGAAATGTGTTTATGGAAGATTTAAAGCATAAGTGTAACATCTGAAAATCGGGTTCACAGATTTGGGTAAATCGTTTGGGCTTAGAGTGTAACACCCCAACTCATATCCGACCCGGATACAAATCCGAGGTGTCACATTGACTTTTCAAACCACTTACTTTTTAAAATAGTAGAACATGCAAACTTTTATCTGGATAAAATTGGTGAAACCTTTAATCAAAAGTAAATAAAGGAAGTTCAAACTCAATTTAAAATAATAAACTCAATAATTTATATAAATACAATAAAGTTGTTCATAAAACTGATCATATAATAAAAAATTCAACCTTTAACTACATGCCAACTACATTCAGTGTAACAAAATAAATACGATTCAATTTGTTTCTGATCTGATCTTCAGAAAGGATAAGCTGACCTTACTTGTCTAACTTTGCTCCTCTGGCTTCTCGGAAAGTACGTGTGAAACACTCACACGCTGAGTCGAGGACTTAGTGAGTCATATAAAACATATAATGGAAACTTAAATACTTAACAATAAAAGAACATTTCATACAATAATCTCATACAAAACCATACAACATTTCATATAATAAATGCATACATGCATATATATCATCATTATCACCATCAATATTCTTATCATTATCAATATTATTATCATTAATCCCTTTAATCATATAATCTTGTACTTAACATTTATATGCGTCATATAATACACTTCACAAAGCAAAACACATAACATCACATGCAATTTATTTATGTTATCTCTTTTAATAGCCCATGGTACACTTCTGAGAACTAAAGATATGTGAGTGCATTGAGGTTGTGCACAAATGATATCACCACAACTCGTATAATTTGCACTGAGTGCCATATAGAATGTCCCGAAGGACAACATATATGTCCCGAATAACCTCGTAGAATAGTCCCGAATGATCACATATATGTCCCGAAGGACAACGTAGAACCCTCGACTCTTGGAATGCTAACTATACCCCCAACTCTCATATCACATACTATGGGCTTTACTATATATATATATATTTCTTATTTCTTATTTCACATAGACTAGTAATCACGTAGGTTATTTCACATAACTTATATCTCATTTTCAGGTAATCGCATAGAACATGTCGCATATCTTATATCTTGTTCTCATATGTTCACATATATCCTATAGCACATCGAATAACATATAAACTTATGCATGTACTCATGTACACATTTTCATATAGTCCATAGATCAATGTCATATAGCTTATCTCACAGTTTTACATGATCACTTATATTATATCACATCACTTATATACTAGTTTCATATATTCACTTAGTTCAATTTCACATAGCTTGTCACATAGGCATGTATTCTCAAAACTTATGATCACATAGGCATGTAATCACATAGCTTATAACATAGATTCATTTTAACACATAGATCATCCTCGTATAGCTTATCTTACATGTTCGTTTAATCACTTATGTCAATATCTCCTAGCTTATATTATATTCTCATATTATCATATAGGTCAATGTTACTTAGATTATCTCAATTTTTCATTTAATCACAAAAATCATTTGTATTAGTTCACATAGGTTACAATGCATACATGTATTCACATAGATCTAATTCATATAACATATACCTTGTTATCCTATATTCACATAGATTATTATCACAAAAGATAACATATAACACATTGTTCATGAATAACAATACATATAACACATAAACATGTATTCACGTACACATAAAAACCATATAAACAATATTCTTGCATTCCTAGAATCATGTAATCAAAACATTGAAAATAGACTCATCGCAAGTCTTATTTCCATAAAACACCATATACAATATAATATGCACTCACATGATCCTCACTAGTCAAAGTAATTCTCCTATCTCTCTCTTGGTAAGTTTTTATTCGTCGACTTGTCCAAACTTGGCTTCCGTTCGATATCTACACGAATATACGACTTATATAAATATCAGAGATCAATTACTATAAATAATTTCTTAAGAACATATGTTAAACAAAACACTTTATTTCAAGATTTCCATTTAATTAGTATTGCTACCTTAGGTACAGTACCGATACTTCTTTACTATGGTATCGATACTATACCTTAGAATCGATACCATTTCTCGATTCTGGAATTTAATTTTTAAAATGGTATCGGTACCCTTGGTATCGATACTACCCCTTAGGTATCGATACTCTTTACAGGTTTCATCATATTTTATCTTATGGTATGATATTGTTCCTCTAGTATCGATACCTCTAGCTCAAATTCTACTCATTTTGCTTTGAAGTATTTTTACTGCTCATCCAGTACCGATACCCCATGCCCATAATATATATTTTTAGCTCAACACTATACCAAAACTTATCTATATCCCACTCCTTTAACTCCTTTTATGATATTATTTTCAATTCACTTAACCAGAATAGTCCATATCATTATAATACATCTTAACATCTAAAATCCCAATAAATCCTTTAAAACCAAAAATCATACCAACTTATCAACATCGTTCTTAATCCTTTATAACACTTTGGATCTCTTATTTTGCCTAATGAAAAGTCAAATTCAGCTTTAAAATCAATTTACTAACTTTTTTCCACCATTTCACTTAAAAACCTCTTATATTCAATCCTCCATAACTTCCAATTCTTTTAGTTTCTACATCCCTTTAAGTTTCCATAATTTTTCCTAATATTCCAACAATCAAAACTATTCATAAATTTCAAGAAATAACCAATTAAGAACAAAGCTTACCTTAGCTATGGAGTTTATGTTGAGAGGATGAAGAAGGATGAAGATATATCTAGAGTTCTTTGATTTTTCTTCCCCTCTTCAACGTGGCTATATAAATAACCATAATGGGCTTTTTAATTATTTTCTTGTCTAATAACCAATATGCCCTTTCATTTTTCAAATTTTTCTATTCAATCCTACACCAAGATTTTCCAATTAAGTCCCTGAACTTTCAATATTTTGAAATTGAGCACTGAATTTCAAAAACTTATATTTTTTCACTAGCCCAGTTTTTGTGATGTTACATAGAGTATCATGATAGGCCCTTTTAAATCAAATGAGTTAAGTGTGGCATAGATTTGATCTTGGGATTAAGCCCAAAAGATAATAAAAATGACATTTTTTAATTGAGAACAATAAAGGAAAGACCAAAGGAGTAATTTGCCCATTGTTTGAAAATAAGGATGATCTTCATTTATGTAGGTAAGATCACACGTTAGAAAGAGAAGTTTTTTCTCTTGTCTTCTTCATCTTTCTCTCTTTTCTCTTTTTCATTTCAAGTCACCAAAGGTGATAAATTGATTACTTAACTTACATAGTTTGGATTTGTAAAGGCAATGATGATTATCTTCTCCCTCAGAGCTTAGTTTTGAGCTCTAAATCTTAAGCTTTGACGACAGAGGTCATGGTGGGTGTTTAGGTAGGTTTTGGGTTTTATATATTTAGGATGTACCTAATATCATTCTTAGGGTTAGAAAATATGTTTCTATTACATGAAGTATTTAAATAACTTAGTAATCCATTTCATTGCCTTTGATTAGTGAGAGAAGTTGAAGAAAACTCCAAAAGCAAGAACAAGGAGAAGTTGGTGTTTGGGTGATCTTATGGACGTTTTCCTAGCAACTATTAGTAAAGTAACACACTCCTAACTCATTAATATCACTTGTAGATCCTTAAATGTGATTTCCTTTATTTTTTACTACAACAAATTTAACCACTTTCGAAACAAACCCCCTAACCAATCTTTTTTTTTTTACCTGAACCAAACAATTAGTACCAAGGAAAAACAGACGAGACCTTTTTATTTTTAATCTTTCTCTCTTCAATCTCGTATCAAAACAAATAGTAATTTTCTCTTTTTTTAAAACAAATGCTCAGAGTTGTTGATTTTGTCAGTAAAATCATTAAACCAAGGTGTCACATTGACTTTTCAAACCACTTACTTTTTAAAATAGTTGAACATGTAAACTTTTATCTGGATAAAATTGGTGAAACCTTTAATCAAAAGTAAATAAAGGAAGTTCAAACTCAATTTAAAATAATAAACTCAATAATTTATATAAATACAATAAAGTTGTTCATAAAACTGATCAGAGCATAAACAATTCAACCTTTAACTACATGCCAACTACATTCAGTGTAACAAAATAAATACGATTCAATTTGTTTCTGATCTGATCGTCGGAAAGGATAAGTTGACCTTACTTGTCTAACTTTGTTCCTCTGGCTTCTCGGAACGAACATGTGAAACACTCACACGCTGAGTCGAGGACTTACTGAGGAATATAAAACATATAATGGAAACTTAAATACTTACAAGAACATTTCATACAATAATCTCTTACAAAACCAGACAACATTTCATATAATAAATGCATACATGTACATATATCATCATTATCACCATCAATATTCTTATCATTATCAATATTTTTATCATTAATCCCTTTAATCATATAATCTTGTACTTAACATTTATACACATCATATAATACATTTCACAAAGCAAAACACATAACATCACATGCATTTTATTTATGTTATCTCTTTTAATAGCCCATGGTACACTTCTGAGAACTAAAGATATGTAAGTACATTTAGGTTGTGCACAAATGTTGTCACCACAGCTCGTATAATTTGCACTGAGTGCCATATAGAATGTCCCGAATGACCACATATATATCTCGAATGACCTCGTAGAATTGTCCCGAATGATCACATATATGTCCCGAATGACAGCGTAGAACCCTCGACTCTTGGCATGCCAACTATACCCCCAACTCTCATATCACATACTATGGGCTTTACCATATATATATTTCTTATTTCACATAGACCAGTAATCACGTAGGTTATTTCACATAGCTTATATCTCATTTTCAGGTAATCGCGTAGAACATGTCGTATATCTTATATCTTGTTCTCATATGTTAACATATATCCCATAGCACATCAAATAACATATAAACTTATGCATGTACTCATGTACACATTTTCATATAGTCTATAGATCAATGACATATAGCTTATCTCACAGTTTTACATGATCACTTATATTATATCACATCACTTATATACTAGTTTCATATATTCACTTAGTTCAATTTCACATAGCTTGTCACAGAGGCATGTATTCTCAAAACTTATGATCACATAGGCATGTAATCACATAGCTTATATCATAGATTCATTTTAACACATAGATCATCCTCGTATAGCTTATCTTACATGTTCGTTTAATCACTTATGTCAATATCTCCTAGCTTATATTATATTCTCATATTATCATATAGGTCAATGCTACTTAGCTTATCTCACTTTTTCATTTAATCACATAAATCATTTGTATTAGTTTACATAGGTTACAATGCATACATGTATTCACATAGATCTAATTCATATAACATATACCTTGTTAACATATATTCACCTAGATTATTATCACAAAAGATAACATATAACACATAGTTCATGAATAACAATACATATAACATATAAACATGTATTCATGTACACATAAAAACCATATAAACAATATGCTTGCATTCCTAGAATCATGTAATCAAAACATTGGAAATAGACTCATCGCAAGTCTTATTTCCATTAAACACCATATACAATATAATAATATGCACTCACCTGATCCTCACTAGACAAAGCAATTCTCTTATCTCTCTCTTGGTAAGTTTTTATTCGTCGACTTGTCCGAACTTGGCTTCCGTTCGATATCTACATGAATATACGACTTATATAAATATTAGAGATAAATTACTATAAACAATTCCTTAAGAACATATGTTAAACAAAACATTTTATTTCAAGATTTCCATTTAATTAGTATTTTTACCTTAGGTACAGTACCGATACTTCTTTACTATGGTATCGATACTATACCTTAGTATCGATACCATTTCTCGATTCTGGAATTTAATTTCTAAAATGGTATCGGTACCCTTGGTATCAATATTACCCCTTAGGTATCGATACTCTTTAAAGGTTTCATCATATTTTATCTTATGGTATCGATATTGTTCCTCTAGTATCGACACCTCAAGCTCAAATTCTACTCATTTTGCTTTGAAGAATCGGTACTGTTCATCCAGTACCGATACCCCATACCCAGAACATATATTTTTAGCTGAACACTATACCAAAACTTATCTATATCCCACTCCTTTAACTCCTTTTATGATATTATTTTCAATTTCACTTAACCAGAATAGTCCATATCATTATAATACATCTTAACATTTAAAATCCCAATAAATCCTTTAAAACCAAAAAATCATACCAACTTATCAACATCGTTCTTAATCCTTTCTAACACTTAGGATCTCTTATTCTGCCTAATGAAAAGTCAAAATCAGCTTCAAAATCCATTTACTAACTTTTTTCCACCATTTCACTTAGAAACCTCTTATATTCAATCCTCCATAACTTCCAAATCTTTTAGTTTCTACATCCCTTTAAGTTTCCATAATCTTTGCTAATATTCCAATAATCAAAACTATTCATACATTTCAAGAAATAACCAATTAAGAACAAAGCTTACCTTAGCTATGGAGTTTACGTTGAGAGGATGAAGAAGGATGAAGAGATATCTAGAGTTCTCTGTTTTTTCTTCCCCTCTTCCACGTGGCTATATAAACAACCATAATGGGCTTTTTAATTATTTTCTTATCTAATGACCAATATGCCCTTTCAACTTTCAAACTTTGCTATTCAATCCTACACCAAGATTTTCCAATTAAGTCCTTGAACTTTCAAATTTTTGAAATTGAGCACCGAATTTCAAAAACTTACATTTTTGTCACTAGCCCAGTTTTTGGGATGTTACATAGAGTATCGTGATAGGCCCTTATGAATCAACTAAGTTAAGTCTGGAATAGATTTGATCTTGGGATTAAGCCCAAAAGATAATAAAAATGACATTTTTTAATTGAGAACAATGAAGGAAAGACCAAAGGAGTAATTTGTCCATTGTTTGAAAATAAGGTTGATCTTCATTTATGTAGGTAAGATCACACGTTAGAAAGAGAAGTTTTTTCTCTTGACCTCTTCATCTTTCTCTATTTTCTCTTTTTCATTTCAAGTCACCAAAGGTGTTAAATTGATTACTTAACTTACATAGTTTCGATTTGTAAAGGCAATGATGATTATCTTCTCCCTCAGAGCTTAGTTTTGAGCTCTAAATCTTAAGCTTTGACGACAGAGGTCATGGTGGGGTTTAGGTAGGTTTTGGGTTTTAGATCTTTAGGATGTTCCTAATTTCATTCTTAGGGTTAGAAAATATGTTTCTATATTAGATGAAGTATTTAAATAAGTTAGTAATTCATTTCATTGCCTTTGATTAGTGAGAGAAGTTTAAGAAAACTCCAAAAGTTAGAACAAGGAAAAATTGATGTTTGGGTGATCTTATGGACGTTTTCCTAGCAACTATTAGTAAAGTAACACACTCCTAACTCATCAATATCACTTGTAGATCCTTAAATGTGATTTCCTTTATTTTTTTACTACAACAAATTTAAGCGCTTTCGAATAAACCCCCTAACTTTTTTTTTACCTAAACCAAACAATTAATACCAAGGAAAAACAGACAGACCTTTTTGTTTTTAATCTTTCTCTCTTCAAGCTCGTATAAAAACAAACGGTAATTTGCTTTTTTTTTAAAAAAAAAGTGCTCAGAGTTGTTGATTTTGTCAGTAAAATCATTAAACCTTTGACAAGATAAAATATCCGGGTCGGGTCAACTGCATTTGAGCGTAGAAACAACTACTAAATAGGGTCAAGAAAGTAATTGAGTATGTGCCCGTATATTTATTTATATTCTGGTAGACAAAACCAGCAGATACTGTTTATAAAAATTATTCAATATCAGACGTTAAATTTTATAATATTATTTCGGTTTTGTCGCTGTTCTTTTTCTTTTTGCTCCTTTTTGTTATGTATATATATAAAAGGTCTGGGTTTGCCTTTTCCATTTCCTCTAGTTTTTGAGCCACTGAGATTGGAGATAAAGGGATAGAGAAATGAGAACCAGGAGAGGGGTTGGTTACAATAGGGCCGATGTTTGTGTAGAGAAGAAAACAGTCGTTAAAACCCCGGATTTCGCCGGAGATTTCTTGGGTTTCCGGAAACGGCAAAGGCTGTCCCCGGATATTGTCCGGAAGAGTGATTTGTTCGATGTTTTACCTGATGATATCGTCGTTTCTATACTCTCTAAACTCAGCTCCACCGCCTGCTGCCCTTCCGATTTCATCAACGTTTTGATCACGTACGTTCACCTTCACTGCTCTTTTTTATTCTCTTTTTTGTTGTTTTTGGTGTTTCTTACGTTTTCTTTCGGTGAAAACAGATGCAAGAGATTCAATAATTTAGCACTCAATTCTGTGGTGTTATCTAAGGCGTCACCGAAAACGTTTGCCGTCAAAGCCAAAAACTGGTCTGAGTCAGCTCACCGGTTCTTGAAGTCTTGCGCTGATGCCGGAAACGTTGAAGCTTGTTATACTCTTGGAATGGTGAGTTTACTCGGATTGTTGGAATCGATTTCATTTTATTTTACTAACTGAATATTATTATTTGTTTTGAGAATCGAAACATTCTCTAACGAGTTTACTGTTTTTATGATTTGCTATCAGATTCGGTTCTACTGTTTACAAAATCGAGGGAGTGGAGTCTCTCTTATGGCTAAGGCGGCGATTAGTTCCCACGCGCCGGCGCTTTTTTCCTTAGCTGTGATTCAGTTCAACGGAAGTGGCGGTTCTAAAAACGATAAGGACCTAAGAGCCGGTGTTGCTTTATGCGCCCGTGCTGCTTTTCTCGGCCACATCGATTCCCTACGTGAGCTCGGCCACTGTCTGCAGGATGGGTATGGCATCCGGCAAAACGTAGCCGAGGGACGGCGATTTCTTGTCCAAGCCAACGCCCAGGAGCTAGGGGCAGTGCTATCATCAGCGGCCGCTTCTAACATAAGCACGCACACTTGGCTGACCTGGAGCCTACACCCAATCCCTCACGTCAGCCTACGTCAGCCGGCCGTGCCGGGATGCCCATTGATGAGTGATTTCGGATGCAATGTGCCCGCGCCGGAGGCTCAACCGACCAGCAGGTTCTTAGCAGAGTGGTTCGACGCCCGGGGCGGGATGCCGGGTCCGGGTTTGAGAATATGCTCACACGTTGGTTGCGGGAGGCCGGAGACGAGGAAACACGAGTTCCGGCGGTGTTCGGTTTGCGGAGCTGTGAATTACTGCTCACGCGCTTGCCAGGCTCTTGATTGGAAGCTCCGCCACAAAGCCGAGTGCGCGCCGGTAGAACGGTGGCTCGATGAGGAAGTTGTCGGTGGCGACGGTAACGGGGCTTTCGATGGGAATGAAGACGTGATTGCCGGAAGTTAATAAAAACGTAACGGTGATGTTTAATTTATGGTCCTAAAAAATGAAAAAGAAGAATAATTAGTAGTAATGGTCGTCGAAAGCTGAAACGGCAGAGTTTTCTTTCACTTGAAAGTTAGGGTAAAGATATTTAATCTCAAAGTGAATTTTGAAATTCAGATTATTATTAAATGTTTTTGTATTTTATTAATAGAGTAATATTTGCGGGTAAGAAATTAAATGTTTGATATGGTAGTTTTTTTTTGCATTGTGGGTTTGGGAAATGCATAATTTTGAAGCTTGGGTTGCTAATTCCAACTTTAGATCTTGTTGGACAGCTTCTTCCCTTCGGTTTTAATTATATTCAAAATCAAAATCGATTAAAAATATTATTCTTTTTAATATCTAAAATTCGAATAAATATATCTCATGCTATTTAAAAATTATAGTCAAAACAAAAAGAACTGGCAAATGTATAATGTATAGTTAAAAAAAAAAGTACGTGGATGGATGGAATGAATTATCAAACTGCCATAAATCTTAGGTTTATGTGTAAGAAACTTGCTTTACTTTGGGGTGAAGATAATTGAATTCACTTTGGGTTTGTATATGGAATAAGTTGATAAAATTTGAATTTCTTTTATATGTTATCTAATTTGTAACAAGCAATGAAACTTATAATTTGATATCAAATAAACTAAAACTAGATTTTAACTGACTGGGTGTTTAATCCAACAAATAATAATACTTGCTTTTAGAAATATAAATTGTAGTAGCGATAAACAAGGTCGAATCCACAGAGATTGTGTAGACTTATTTTAATGAAAATTAAAGCAAAGAAAAGGGTTTTGAAATTGAGAAAAAACAAAAGAAAAAGCAATTATAATCAACCAAGAATTTAGAGAAATTAATATCAAGCAAATATCCAACTAAAGATATAATTTCAGAATTGGTTCAGAGAATTGATCATAGATGCAATGATAAAATCTTCTATTTTCACTAAATTGGTTATGGTTATTTACAAGCTCTAACAACCTGTCTCTTCTTAGTTTCTTGATAATCAAGAGAAGCTCTTTGATTATGTCCCTTGTTATTGAACAACCCTAGACAAGTGCTTAAGATTTAATCCACCAACAACATTAACCCCTAGAGAGACCACCAATTCTAGCCTACAAAAACACAAACTTCATTCATTTAGACTAGATTATATACCTTCATAACATAATAAAAAATCAACTCACTACAGCAAAATGGGCTTTTAGCGGCATTTTTAGTGTCGTTTTTTGAACAAACGCCGGTAAATACTCATACATTAGTGGTGTTTTTTTATAAACGCCGCTAATTACTATACTTTAGCGGCATTTTTGTATAAACGCCGCTACAAACTCGTACTCTAGCGGCGTTTTAAGAACAAACACCGCTAAAGGCCCCTACATTAGTAGAGTTTTCATATAAACGCCGCTAATTACTATACTTTAGCAGCGTTTTTGTGCAAACGCCACTAAAAGCTCTTATTTTAGCGGCGTTTTAAGTACAAAACCTACCCATTTTCAATGAAATTATCGCATTCGCCATAAAAAAATCCCCCCCAAATCTCACACCTTGTCATTTTCAAAACCTACCCATTTCTCTTTAGTCTTTACTCCTACCTGTTGTGCCTTTTGCCTCTCTCTCTCTCGACAATGGCCGCTGCCGCTACTTCTCCTCGTGCCATTTTTATTTTGATTTTTTTTATTTTCTGATGTCAAACCGAAGACTCCATCGTAGGTGTAGTTCCTAGTTTTGTCTTTCCTAAAAGGTATGATCGTTGTCTGTCTATTTGCAATGCAAATGTCGCTCTATTCGCTCCATTTTTTGTTTCTTTCTTAAATCTTGAATTTGATTACAAATAAGAAATAAGAAAAAATGGTAGTCATTTCGTCATTCTTCACCTTCATTCAATTTTCTTTTGATTTTTTTATTCTCAATTCGGCTTTTCTGATCTGACTTCGCTCGTTTGTTCTTAGTTCCTTTCTGGGTATTTCAGGTTTTTCTTTGTTCACTTCTGGTTTCATCCTTCAGTTTTGATTTACTTCGCAATCTAGTTTTGTGTGTTTCTTTTGGGTAAGTTTGCTTTCAACCTAATGTGCTAGTCATTTTTCCTATTTGTGTGTGTCTTATTTGTTTTGGTTTAGCTGCTTGGTATATTGACTTCACTTTTGATGTACATAATTTATGTTATGAACTATTTTAATTCGAATTCGGAACTGAACTTCTTTCCTGTTAGACGCTCAGAGATGGCATTCAACATTGGTTGAGGTCCAACTGTGGAAACCCAGGGTAAGTAATTTATGCTAATAAGTTTACTTTTTTTAATTATTTATTTTACTTTTATAGTCAAGATCTCTTATTACATATTCATGTCTAGGGATAAATCCCCACTTGATCAACTTTATTCATTGTGCAGCAAGGTATTGCGATATAGAGAGTTGAGACAGGAAACTAGTATGCCGTCTCATGAGCACAATTATTCTATGCCGTCTTTTACATGTTTTTTGATTTAATAGAATTTTACCCCTTGGATAGCAGTACAGACTAATCTTCCCTTAAAAGCCTTTGGTGATTATTTAGTACATAATGCATAAATATATCTATTTATGCAGAGTTGTATGTACATATGCACAACAGAAGGGATACATACAATACTATGCAGTACCTTATAAATAGAAAAGTAGTTTTTAGTTTATTTACTTTGAAGGATAATGTGATAGTTTCTATGGTGCAAGTTGATAACATTGATTTCATCTCTCTTTCCGATTCTATTATCCACTCAAGATTATTAGAATAGGGAAAATATGTCTTCTTTCCGATTGTTGTTGCTCACTTTATTTGTTGATTTAACTTACAGGAACCTCAGTCAAACTTGGAAATAAAGTACCTAGTAATCCCAGTGTGTAATTTTGGACATTCTGAAGTTTCTTCATCTCTGTTTTCGCTTGAGTTCTATTAACTTAAATGATTTGTTGAAAGCATCATATTACATGTTATTTCTTCCTTCGTTTTTCATTTTATGTACAATGCGTAAAAATCAAATTTTAGAGTGTGAATCTTATTCATTTGTGTCATTATATAACTTATATCCACACACTTTTGGTTGCCGTCTTGCAGGTACTACAAATGTAGCAGAAGAAGCTGAAGAGACTAAAACGGCTGGTTTGACTAGCCAGCTTATTCCAAATCCATCTGGGGTGAGTTCATATCTGTTCTTTTAAAACATTAATAGAAGCTATGTATGTTATGTCAAGTCATTATTGGTATCTTTTTCCACCTTTAAATTATAAAAATGTTTTGACCAGTAGATTTTGAAGTTACTGCACAGTAGCTGTTTGAAGCAACTGTGAGGAAATTATATATGGAAATTAGAAAAAGAATGTAATTGATTTTCTTCTTTTTGATCTACTCGTAATTTACAAATATGGAATAAATATGTTAATATTTCATGTTTTGGTATTTCTTTAATAAATGAATGAAAGAACTTATACTTCGAGTTATATTTGAAAAGTTTGTTGTTTATAATCTCTAACTGCAGGTGGAATCTCTAATCAGAGATGTATGCGATACAACTTCCATTGCAGAGCTTGAACTGAAAGTAGGTAGATTTGATTATTGTGCCATAAATATCTTTATTAATGTGAATGAATTTTCTACTTGAATTGTTTTGTTTTGAATCGAAGCAATTGCAGATGTTGAAATTTATTCTTACTCTTTCTGCTGCCTCCGTTTTAGCTTGATGGATTTCGGCAATACATTGTGAGGAACTTAACTGGAAAATTCTAAGGGAGGACGATGGTACGTCTTTGCCATCTTTTCAATATACATTTCAACTTGTGGTATTTTACGGTGTCCCATGGTCAGTTATTCTAACTTTCTTTACTTAATACGACAGATTCCGTTGGATACGGCGATGCTCTCATTGCACTTCTACCTTCTTTTCCCGGGATAAAGAAGCTGCAGTAGATGATTCGATAATTTCGCTCGTTACCAACTGGTTTGTCGCAGATGTAAGCTTTGTGTCATTTAGTACTTGAAATGTGGAACTTGTGAACATCACTGGGAATCTACCATTGAACATGAAGCATTTTCATTCATTGCAACCATTGAACGTACATTTTATGTTATTTTGATAACTATCGAAACAATGTTGGTAACCATTAATTTATCGTTTGTAACTTTTACTACATTTTAGCTATTTTTAAATTATTTGATACATTTTAATACAATTATTTTAATATCTGCAATATATGCTTTGATTTGTAGATCTGATTATTACTGTGGGTGTAAAGAATGTCTTTAATGGTGTTTTATGCAACTTATGCAACTACTCCTAATAGTGACATTTGCGGCGTTTTTAGATGAAAATGCCACTAATAATGGGCTTATTTACGGCGTTTTTAATTACAAATGACATTAAATACACAGTCAATAGCGGCGTTTGTAAAGAAAAACATCATTTAATACACAATAATACACAGTCAATAGCGGCGTTTGTAAAGAAAAACGCCGCTAAATGCACAATCAATAGCGGCATTTGTAAAGACAAACGCCGCTAAATACACAGTCAATAGCGGCGTTTATAAATACAAACGCCGCTAAATACACAATCAATAACGGCATTTGTAAAGAAAAACGCCGCTAAATGCACAATCAATAGCGGCGTTTGTAAAGATAAATACCGCTAATACATAGTCAATAGCGGCGTTTATAAAGACAAACGCCGCTAAATACACAGTAAATAGCGGCGTTTATAAAGACAAACGCCGTTAAATACACAGTTAATAGCAAACGCCGCTAAATACCAATACCTATTGCGGCGTTTTTTAACAAAAACGTCGCGAACTTTAGCGGCGCTATTTTCAACGGCGGTTTTCGCGGCGTTTGTCTTAACGCCGCATGTGTTTTTAGCGGCGCTTATAAACGCCGTTAAAGGTAAAAAAAAGTGCCACAAAAAGCCTGTTTTGTTGTAGTGACTATGTTACTTTACCACTAATATTAGAACGTTTAAACAATTACAGATTTAAAGTTCTAAATGACAATTTATCAACATGATAATGAACAACGGGCCTTTTGCAACAATCAACCAAGACAATAATTCTTAATAAATACAGAAGATATATAAATAGTGAAGAAATA